TAACTTGGAGGTGACTTACATACTCAGGATGGTCCCATTATTCTCCATTCTTTCATGTTTCTTCTGTTGGATGGGCTTTGGAGTCCTAATTATATTATCAGTTGATTGTAGCCACACATGATGATTTGATTGTAGTCATATATTTTTCATCTCTTACTTCAAATAATGGATATGCATATGCAAATGTTGTTTGGCATGGATTGTTTTTCTTAGTAGCTCTTTGAATGATTTTCTTCCTTCTTTGCCTCTTTGAATGGATATCATTTAAATGCTTTTTATACATTCATATGTCCCTAAATATTAAGCAATTGTGATATTGTTGTAAACATCCATCTAATTTTACTATTTTATAAATAGATTAATAATTTCAAAGTTATTGATACTTTTTTGGGGGTGGGTTGCTTAACATGACATTGATTTTTTATTGTTAAATAGTAAATTTTAAATAAAATGATACTGTAGTTGCCCCTTACTTAGTATGGGGTCATTGTCTAGATAAAACATGGTAAGTATCTTAAATCAAATAAAGAGCCTACCCTAAATGTCTATTATAAATAATTAACAAAATGAAATAATTCAAATTAAATCAAATAATTTACTTGCTGAAAATTACTGGATTAAGTAAATAATAATAACAATCAGTTATTTATAGAAATAATTAATAATAATAACAATCATCAAGTACTTAATTAAGTAAAAAATAAAAATGAAATAACAATCATCTGTTATCATTAATGTTTATTCAAAGCATGCCCCGTAATAATTACCGAATACAATAATTAAACCTTAATTAAGAATCAATATTTATTAACATTCATTAAAATTGTTAAGCCAAATCATTAATATTTATTCTTAAATGCAAAATATGAATTAACAAATCTATTATATAATAATTATACTCAGTTGAAAAAAAATATTTTAAGTAAATATTTAAATAATTACAAATTTAGTTATTATTATTACTATATAACAAAAATTTTTAATTAAATACTAAAATAAATTAATAATAATAATAATAATAATAAGAGTGGTTAAATTAAAGTAATAAATGGTTCAAGTTGAATTTATTGACCCGTATAATTTTACGGGTTTGACATATAAGGGTCAATTTATATGGACCCATAGACTGTATGAATGTCTTAAAAAATGGCAGTTTATAAATAGTAATAAAAAATGGTGATAAAAATCATTAATATTAATAATATGTATATATGTATATATAATTAACTTCCCCGTATTTAGTACAGGGTCATTCACTAGTAATATAATATTAATAATATATATTTTATATAAATAACATTTAATATATATAAACAGTGGGGGCGGGGACTTCAATCCCCATCCCGACCCCTTGGGGAAGTCGGGTCCCGTCGGTAGGAATGGCAACGGGTAGGGTACCCGTGCAAAATGCCAAACATTTTCTACTAAAAAAAAATTCTTAATGCTTATAATGTGACTTGAACCCAAATCAATTAATAATAAAGCCAAATCTCTTAAAACTACTTTAAGCCACTAAGCCATTTCACCTTTTTTGTTATTTAATGAAATAAAGTAGATTTTATTAACTTTTGTGTTCATCAAAATAATCAATACATGTACATGATTAGCAATTTCAACTAAAAATTAAAGAAACAATATTTAAAATTAGCATTTTATAACTAAATGAAATAAACAATTTATCAAATCCAAATTTACATCAAATGATGATTTTAATCCCAATAAATTTATACAAATACAATATTAATAATAGAATAATTATCTTAGTACTTAAAATTTAAAAATTTGTGCATGATATATAATATAATAGGTTCATATTTATGCATCCCGAGTATCGAGTATCAGATACCCTAAAGTTAAAACCCAAACCCTATAGAGTTTTAATCTAAAATCCCAAACCCGTTCCAAACCCTATAGGGTTTCGATAAACGGGTCCTATTAGGGTTGGATACCTGAAAATACTCGTGAAATTTCCATCCCTACCCGTTGGAGATGGAAAAATTGCCATCGCTATGGTGAGATGTGCCTGTGAGGTCGGTGTGAGGCAACCTGTTTGAGGAGCAGATCCCAATTTCCTAGGCCCATTAGGCCCATATGCCAGCACTTCACAACACAGGCTGCCAACAAAAGTGGACCAGCCCCACACGGCCCACATTAGACTTCTGGTTGGCAGGAGATCAGATCTCGACTCATGTGAATCTATTATGGTATTACCTTTTCAATTCTTCATTTCTTCTTATGGGTTCGCATCTACCCCCCACATACTTGCCCCCCAAAAACGTCCCACAAAACCAGAACGCGATGCGTGTCATGACACACGCGCATTAAGCGAGACGCGCGTGGAACCCATTTCACGCCGTGAAATGCACCTTTGTTAATTCCTCTCTTGCCCAAAAGCGTTTCTTCTCCCATACTCCTCCATTCTACTTCGAACTGAAACTCTTGGCGCCAGACACCTTTCGTGACCCACTCACCGGAGATTAATCCAGTGGAGTTCCGCCGGCCGCCGCTGCCGACCATACCGGTAGGAGGTAAGTACTCTGTAAGTTTTTCTCATTTCTTATATATATTTGTTTTTTCTCATTCGTTTTCTAACATTCAAAGATCTGAACCCGCTGGAGTGGGAGCCCCCTGATGCCATTTCAAACCCTTGACACCCCCGAAATTTGAAAGCCCTCAAAAATTCGAAACTCTTCGGTCATAAGCAATTAAAATTCATAATGGTAAATGGTAGTTTGGAAGGAAGCATAATTGCCATGCTAGGAACTGTTGGTGTGTTTCAATACTTTGATTGTAGGAGGATATGGCTGACAATTTGTGTTGATGCAGCATGGAGCAATCTACGTCATATGAAGTTCAGGAGTAGGATTATAAAGAGAGAAGCCAGGGGTCTGAGTTCTTTCGGCAGTTGGTCCTATCAACCATTTTCTAAAACCCTCTGCAACTTGAGCGGGTTATCAAAAAAAGTACCAAAGAAATGTAGTGATATCTTCGAAACACCTTGTTTATTGCTCATGTATGCATTTAGGTAGCTGCTATGTTTGGAAGAGAGATTTTGGTAATAACCAAAGACCAGCAGTATTTATTTCTATATCTGCAGTAGCAGGAGTCATAGTGTTGTGTAGCAAATACTTAGTAGATATATACTCTCATCAGCACTGATGCTCCTTTAAATCTTTGTTTTTCATTGCTGTTACATGATCTTTGCAGATATGGCTTCTAGGTTTAAGGCTACATTTGGCATTCCCTGTTTTAAGGACTCCTTTTTGTGGTTAAAATGCCCCCAACGCCAAAAAGAGGTAAGTCCTTGAAATAAGGAAAGGCAAATGAAGCCTAAGACAAAATTTTTACCATTGCTGAAACCAACTGCCTCTTTTGAGAGAGAGAGAGAGTATTACAGTGTAGATACTAATAAAGAGAGATAGAATATTGACAAAGAACCTTTAATATTTCATGAGAGAATACATGACAATCATTACAAAGGGAATTATGATCAAATTCATTTGTCGCAACTGATCTCTCAGCTTCAATGGCATCCTCTTCTTCCACTCCCTCCGCTACCCCTGCTCCACCACTGGATCAGAAGTCGGTACTGGTGGTGCAGCAACAGCAATATAATATTGTCTTCTTTTCTTTCTCTTGTAAATGAAGTCGTCGTCGTTGCACATCTCCCACTCCTCCTCCCAGGCTGTTCCAGCCATGGCCAAGCGCCTCAAGTCAAAACTCAAATTCTGGAGAGTTTCGAATTTTGGAGAGCTTTCGAATTCCGGGGGTGTCAAGGGTTTGAAATGGCGTCAGGAGGCTCTCACTCTGGCAGGTTCAGATCTGTGAATGTTAGAAAATGAATGAGAAAGAACAAAAAAATATATATATATATATATATAAGAAATGAGAAAAACTTACAAAGAACTTACCTCCTGCTGGTATGGCCGTTGGCGTCGACCGACGGAAATCGACCGAATTAATCTCCGGTGAGTGGGTTATGAAAGGGGGCCGGTGCCAAAGATTTCAGTTCGAAGTAGAATGGAGTATGGGAGAAGAAACACTTTAGGCAATAGAGAAATTAACGGAGGTGCATTTCAGGGTGTGAGATGGGTTCCGCACGCGTCTCGCTTAATACACGTGTGTCATGATGACACGCGTCGCGTTCCAATTTTGTGGGACGTTTTTGGGGGGCAAGTATGTGGGGGGCAGATGCGAACCCCCAAACATCAGACGGTTGAGAGCTCTTACGTTGCGTGACTTGATGATCTACTCCCCGTGACAAATAACCGTCGGATTTGTTACACGTTTTACGGGGCGGGGCCTACACCCATCTACCATCTCCCATCGTTTTACGGCGTACGCATTCATGGGTACGACGAAACACAGTGGGGCCAAAGCTACACGACCTTGGAATCTTTTCTAGTCACTACTTACGAATCCCAAACTTCCACTATTCCACATTAGACGTGTAGCCGCTGTACACGTAACACATCTCTCGTAAAGCAAATCTCACAACCCTGAACTCGCCACACAATGGACAGGTGTACATCCAGGATCTCATCAATACAACAGCAAGCAAAACAAATCTCTGATCCCCCGCATGGCTTAGCGACCTTGCCTACCTACCCCATGTGACAACCTCCTTCGGAGCCGTACGATTTGTTGCATGTGGCAGGTGGATCCCAGTCTGACGGCCCTCAAGAGGCTCCTGACATTATGGTGGGTCCCACGTTCACAAGAAAACAAAACGGAAATCATGTAGTTTGTACGTTAAAGCAAGTGCCGAACACAGCGCTGAAACATAGAGAACAAAACTCGAAGCAATTTAACGTGAGACACAGACAGCGCCCGCAAATAACTGGGAGAGAGGAGGAGGATTCTGGAATCTCGATTCTCGACTCAACTTGTTTTTCTTTTCTTTTTCGACTCGCGACCAATCTCCTTCTGTCAAATCAAACACCGAGGACAAAAATAAAAAAAGTAGAAATGAAAATTTGAAAACGTAGAAATTAAAAGTCAGAAAAGGATGATGGACTATGGAGAGAAGAATCTCATGTCTTTCTCACGTTCGCTGGCTGTCTCGCCGTTGCTTTGCTCGAGAATTCACGCTTTCTCTGTAGCTCTTTTCTAGCTCCATCTGTCACGCTTTTTTTTGTTTTCTATTGGTTAATTAATTCGAAAGAGAAAGTTTGGGTTTTGACTTGAGGCGCTCTCCATCCGTTCATTTAAATCGGATCGGAGGGAGGTCTTAAGGCGAGAGATCTGGGGGGGGGGGATCGCTTCTCTCCGTCAGATTTCGCGTGGAGCTGAAAGAAAAAGCGAACCTTTCGCCGGAACAAGGAGCTTGACGGCGATGGGTTCGAAAGGCGTGAGGAGGAGGACGGGCTTGTTCTCCAGGGGGAAGAATGAGGGAAAGCCGAAGTTGGATGATTCAGAAGAGAACGATCAGGAGATGAAGAAGGAGAAGAAATTCGAGCGTCGGCTGGTGAAATACGAGGCTTTGCCCGATTATCTGCAAGACAATGAGTTCATATTGGATCACTACAGGTGCGAGTGGCCGATAAAAGACACGTTCCTCAGCATTTTCTCATGGCACAACGAAACCCTCAATGTCTGGACGTAAGTCTCTCTCTCTCTCTCTCTCTCTCTCTCGCTCGCTCGCTCGCTCGCTAACTCGCTTTCTTGCTAATAAAATTGATCTTTTGATGAACTTTAACCAGGCATTTGGGAGGATTTTTGATATTTGTTGGATTGAGCCTAATGGAGGTTCCAGAGGTTCGAAGTTTGGTGTCTGGTTTCTCAAGGTTAGTAATCCGTGTGCTATTTGCAGGGGACTGAGTCGTCATTTTTCCAGTTGCTTATTTCAAAATTTCACTGTTCTTTCTGAGTTTATTTGTTCTCTGGTTGATTGCTGATCAGAATTCCGGCGCCGGTGACGACGGCAAAGAACGTCTCCGACAGCGTTTTACCGGTAAGTACAGCTCCAAAACGGTGCCTTTTTTATTTCTTGACTTTCGGCATTGGGTAGCAAAAAGTAAAGAGAGGCCGTATGAACTGTGAATTAATCGATATTATGTCCGATAACCAGACCAGAACTAGATTCGGAAAGGGGGATGGGTCTGTTGAACCATTTCAATCCATATCGTTGACTAGGTGGGTGACCCGGTAACCGGCGACCCGGAAGTTGACAAGTCCAAGGTTTTAACGGTTTTGACTGGCGATTCGTTGGGCAACCCAACTCAACATGAGTCGGGTTGCACGTAGTTCAGTGAGTCAACACGAGTCCGCTGGGTCGCTTGTCGGATCAGTACGACTCGGGAGCTTTCTTGGTCTTGTATGTTCCAGCTTGTCTTTCCCGTAGGTGTACGAAAGGATCTAAATAAATATAAATATCAAAACCCCTTAAATAGTTAATAACTGAAGGAAAGAACTGTACTTAAGTACTTGATCTTGTATTGAATTCTTGTGCTGCTGAACAATTTATATCTATTAATAAAAGCATCTGGAGACGACTGAAGAGCTTGAATGCGAATGGTCAGACCTACAGACTGTGATGGAATCATGGAAATGAGGGGTCGTTTGATAACGGCTGAAATGGCTGAATTGAATGAGTTGTTGTTTTGAAGTAATTAAATAGTGAAACTTTCAAAGGTATAACAATAAATCCAACTTCAACTTCATTCATGGGAGGTTGCAATTGGGAGGGCTGAGCTGAAGATTCAATCAAGGTGGTTGAGCTGTTTTTAAAGCACTCTTGATAAGAGGGTGAAGTTGTCACTTGTAAGCCCTTCAAAAGTCTGAAGTAGGACTCTCCATGTTTATTGTTTAATTGTTCGCCAGATATAGCTTATAGAGTTATAGGGTGTCCTTGGGGCCAGCAAAAAATTGGAATTGAACCAGATCCGAATTTTAGACCCAAAATCGAACCAATTGGTTATCAGGACAATCGGGTATGGCCTGATTGACAACCGACCCATTGGTATCAAATCCTACAACTAGAAATGGGCCAAATGGCCAAATTGGTTTGGGTCCATCGGATTGGATCCGACCCATTGACAGCCCTACTTCCATTTTATGAAAAGTGAGGAGAACCCCAATTGGTTGTTAGCGATTTGAAGGGATGTTTGTTTCAGTCTCTTTGAATAGTTTATTTGGAGCACTTCAAAGCATGTTCAGTATTCAGCTCAAGTGTCCAACCCTCCCAAACAAGCCCTTATTCAAAGCAATTAATCATTCGGTTCAGAGTTCAGACATTTCAGTTGTTAGGAATATGACCCTATGACTTCATTGAAAAACCAGCACAGCTAGTCTTCTTGTGGTAAGTAGGGCAGAGCAGGGTGCACATGAGGTCTGCTCAGGCGTTAATCATACCGCAAAGAGCATGGGGTTTTGTAGATTTGGTTCTATGCTTTCATTTTTGGAGGGATGCCGAGTGACCATCTCCCTTCATCAACAAGGTTTTAAAAGGCTAAAGGAGCAGTTGAGGCATAATGACCCAAAAAGGTGTGGTGCAAGCCTCAAGGCATTGTGAGGTGTAAGCCTCAAAAATTAAGAAAAAAATTAGTTGAAGTTTATAAATAATAAAAATAACATATTATATACCAAATTACAATGATATAGAAGGTACAAATATCTATAAAATATAAGTTTATAAGCAATGCATTTTTACTTTTAAGCTAGCGTTAAATAAAATAATTGCCAATCAGCTAACAATTATAAAAGCTTTATATTTGATCAAAAAAAAATTTTACATTTCATGTTTCAAAATGGAAAGTTATAAAATTATTCAAATGGTCAATTAGAAGAAAGGGAACAACTTAGTTGATTTTATGTTTGCAAAAAAAAGTCTACCAAAAAAAAAGATCTATGCAAAAAAAAAAAAGAAGAAAATAAAACCATTGGGAAAAAATGAGAATAATAACAAACTTGGGATGCTAGATTTAGACTAATAAGAAAACAAATCCTGCCCTTGATTCATACAAGAGAAACTAAGAACTTGATTGGCCCTCTTTTGCATAGAACTCCCATAAAACAATAAGAAAAAATAATGGAACTTGATTTGATCTATTGGTTTTTCATTTTTACTCCTTTTATTTTGCCCATAATTATTAAAATGCTTCTTCTATATATTTTGAACCATAAAACTGCATAAAATATATTAGTTTCCATTAAATCACTAATAATCTTTAACCTTTAGCCTTACCCCTTTTATGCCTCAAGCTATGCCATGCCTTGAGGCTTGAGGTTTAAGCCTCATTCTCACAAAGGCTTAAGCCTCACATAAAAATCGTCAAATTCATATAATTATGGAGAGCAGATCTTTGTTGTCTTGTTTTTCTCAAGCTTTAGTGCTCTTTGCATCTCAAAGTTGTAATCGATTAGCTCACAAACTTGCTACCTATGCTAATCAGCATCATGTTTCCAAAGCTTAGGTATCACCTCCTTCATTTGTAAGGTCGATACTCCATTTTGAGATGTAATCTTATTGAAAGTTGAATGAATGTGCTTTTAGGCTTAAAAAAAACGTCAAATTCATAAGGCTTAAACCTTGAAGCAATACCTATATGCCTCACCTTATGGTTCAAAGACTTAAGCCTTTTAACACAGTGTTGATGAAACAATTATTCTCAAAACAAGGTAGTGGTGTACTGTGCATAGGGATGTGAGGAAGGTGGATAGGAGATCCATTCCGAAGTGCCTCGCTGTTTTTATAAAGAAACAATTCTTTCTCTTTTTCACACTGGATGATAAAAGTTACTCCTTGTTTCTATTTGTTTTTTGGTACTTTCCCACATTGGCTTTGAAGTGACTAGGCACCTTTGAATTTGAGAATTTCCTCTTTTATAAAACGAGGGAAAGTCAAATAGCTCAATTAAGGTTTAAATACATAAAAAAATACATAATGCCAGGTATGGTTGTATGAATGTGCCATAAGGACAGTTCCCTTAGGGTAATTTGACTTCAAAAAAATTATTTATATTTGCATGCATGTTACACTTGAACCCACTTTTGCTATTCTATGATTATAAGTTAATATGCACAATGCTTCCAAAATCAAATAATATATTTAACAGGTGAATGGTAAACTTAAATTGATATATTAACAGTTCCCTTGGCTCAGAAGGTGCCACCACTACTACCATTACCATTAGCCCATTCCAAATGCAAGCAGGCAGCTCAATTGTTTTTGTTTAAATGTTTCGGCAGGACTTGTCAAGAACACCAGTACTCCACATGGAGGACGGAAGCAATGGCGCAGCAATTCCCAGGTGGCCGTGGTTCGTGTTCCTGGTAGGGGCCATGGGGTGTCTAGTGTGCAGCTCGCTGTCGCACCTCCTGGCCTGCCACTCCCGTCGTCTCAACCTCTTCTTCTGGCGCCTCGACTATGCAGGCATCTCGCTCATGATCGTCTCCTCCTTCTTCCCACCCATCTACTACGCCTTCTCCTGCCACTCCCACGCACGAGACTTCTACCTCACCTCCATTGCCATCCTCGGCGTCCTTGCCATCATCACCCTGCTCGCACCTGCCCTGTCCGCCCCACGGTTCCGGCCCTTCCGAGCCACCCTTTTCCTCACCATGGGCTTCTATGGGGTGATGCCAGCGGCGCATGCCGTCGCCATCCACTGGGGCGACCCCCACATCTTTGTGGCGCTTGCGTACGAGGTAGCCATGGGCGTGGCCTATGCAACCGGGGCGGCTTTCTATGTTACCCGGATACCAGAGCGCTGGAAACCTGGCGCATTTGATATTGCCGGCCACAGCCATCAGATCTTCCATGTGTTCGTGGTTGCTGGAGCGCTTGCCCACTATGCCGCCACTTCCGTGATTATGGATTTTAGGGAGGGCTCCACAGCTTGTGAGCCCGACCGCTCTGCACTTGGCTGGGCTATAATGTAGTAGTACTAGTTTGCAATTTGCATTGTTAAGGTGGTTCCTCTGAAGAGGCTGTTTCAGGGGTAGGAGGCGTAGTTTTGTTATGCCAATACCAATATATAGCTGTTGTAAAAGTTGCAAGGAATTTTGGGGATATGGTATGATAATTCTCCACAAGTTTTTTTTTTTTTTCACCCGCAAAATCTTGATCATCACATGCTACCTGCAACTGAACAACCCCCAAAAGATGTATTATTTATTTATGTTTTTCAGATTCACATAGAGCCAAAGAGTTCATCCTTCCGGAGGGAGTGGGCTGGGTTGGTTTATGTTGGAATTGTTTAGCTGCGTGACTGACATGTTGAGCCATCATCAGATTTGGCTGTGGCTGGCTTAACTTTATTATCATCTTTTATTGGGATGTCGTTTACTCAACTCAGTCTTAATCACAGCCATGTTTTTTATTTTTCCAAATTGCAAAGCCCTTGATTTTTCTTACCACTCCAGCTAAGTTTTCTATGATCGTATAGTTTGGAATTTCAACATCTTTAAGGCTAAATCACAGCTATAACAAGGACCCAAGACGGTCTGTGGCCTCCCTTAAGGTTTCTTAGTCTTGTTTGGAACACCGGAGCCCGTAACTCATGAGTTAGCTCCCTTACAACTCTATAGCTGTGCTTGATTCATGAATTAAGCTTATGACAGTATGGGATCAATTCTATATTCTGTTGCCCAGTGACAACATGATCAAATGCAATTCAAGTAATGACCAATCAAGGCAATGCCATAACTCTTGCTGGCAAATTCAAGATCAAAATATCGATATGATACGACCTGTATCGGTGCATCCAGATATCCATGGATACACATGTTTTAAAAGCTTTTAACTTTTAAAACTTTGGGATGATAGATCCCAATCATCCCATCCCTCTAATACCTATAAAATATAAAAATAAAAAAATGAATATCGGTAATGGATATGTACCAATATCCAAATATCCAACTTTGGGTGTTGAGCGTAACCATATTTAGTTTGATCCTTGAGCAAACTAGAACCAGAAAATTTGCTGGACTTGTTCCAATAATAAGACGGAAGCTGGCAGCGGCAGAGGTTTGGCTTTGTGTTGGTTCAATCCCCATTGATAGGCCCAACTTTTATTAGTAACTCAAGTTGGGACGGACCTGACTTTCATATGATCATCTATTACTTAACCGTCTTTATATGTGAATGAGCCTAACTTGGAGTTGTAGTTACACGCTGCAAGTCTGGCCGGGTTAGGTCGGGTTGAGGCCAATCTTAGCCCAACCCTAAGTTCTAAACCCCCAACCCTAACCCTAACCCAACCTGACTTATCCTAACCCTAACCCTAACTATATTCCTTCAACCTTAACCCAACCCAACCCAATCCAAAGTCAACTTCGGGTTGGCTCAACTCAACTTTCTTCCCATCCCTCAAAATCTCGTAGAACTTCTTAGCCTTAGATCTTAACTCAAATTTCATTAATATATTAATCCCATGTTTTATTATTATTTGTTTGTTGATGTTTTTATTGGTTCTTTAAGTACAAAATTCAGAAAAAAAGTGTTTGAAATGACTATAATTTATTATGATGACTTATAATAGATCTTTTATGAGCAGCAAGCTATGGGTGGCAAACAATAGAGAGGAGACAAAGAATAAAATATTCAGAAAACATAAAATATGTTATCAAGGTTTTAGTATTTCCAATTAGGATTAAGTGAAGTGGTTATCTTAAATGAAATAAATGATAGTATGTGGTGGTGGTTATACAACTATCATGCATCTAAACAAAGTAGAGTCGGGTTCGAATTGGATTGGGTTGCTCGAGAGGTCAACCCTAACCCAATCCAAAGTAAAGTCGGGTTCATAAATTTCAACCCTAACACTAACCCGGGCATCAACCCGACCCGGGTTGGGTCCTTACACCCAACAGAGCCATCGGTGAACACATAAAATTAGTAGTACCCCCCTTTTCGCTTGCAGCCTGCTGATATATTGAAAGAAAGGTGGACATCTTCATCTAATAAAATGGCTACCTCTTAGCAAGCAAATCAAATTGGTCTCCACCTCATGGATCATCTTCAGCCAACAAAAAAAAATCTGTTAAAACATAATATCTAGACATCCAGCAGAAGTGTTGTTCCTTTAATTTGACAGGACTAATTGACAGAGAGGTATTACTACAAATAATATTCCTGCATATGAAATTTCATTGAAAGGATTTTTACACAGTAATTCAATGCCCAAGGCAAGAAAATCTCAAGTTCACGGTAGGATAACAGCAATGTACAGTTCCCCCTAACTAGAAAAGTACTGGAAAATTAAATCCTCTTAAGGTTGTTATTGTCTCGGTTGCTAAGTAGAAGAGAGTAGCCCAAGTCACTGAACTAATTACTAAAGAGCTCCTTCAAATGCTCTTCAGTATATTCCTTTCATGTACCAGCATATGCCTAGATCTTCCTACTGGGTTTCATTGTTTCTAAAGACCAATTGTAACAAACACTCAGCACATTGCCTTGCTTACCAGAAATTTGAAGGCAAAGAAAACCAATTTGACTCTTTCTATTCCTTATCATCCAGGTTGCCGCAATAATTCGCTTGTCACTTCTTTTCTCTCTCTTTCTCTCTCTCTTTCACGTGAACCGTTAATCTGTAGACAAGTGAGCTTGCATCTGTCTCTCCAGAAATGTTAATATCTTTCTAACTCATAACCTCAACAACCTCAGCTTCACTATCGCTATAATCTCCCCAACACTTGGTTGGCTTTTCTTCAACCTTTATGTTGGTGCAAGTTTCTTTTGCCACCACAAGTTCATCAGAAGTCACTACTATGGATCTGGGATTTTCTTCCACTTTAATACCAGTTTTTTCACACTCTACAGATTCATCTTCTAGTTTGTTTTGGTTATTTGAATCTTCTTCCTTCATTTCCATCAAAGATGTTTCAGCATTCTGTTCTGCATGAACTTCAGTTTTGGCTTCACCAACTTCAACAATCACATGTGTTGGAGATTCCAGTGGACTGTTTGGAGAACCTGGATAACCATTTGGTGACAGCAGAACACTATGTGGCGAAACTGGGTAACCATTTGGTGAGACTGGAACTCCATGCATGGGAGCTGGAAAACCATTTGGAGTCACTGTGAAGCCATTGGGTACCCATGGCTGACCTGGTATAAACTCAGCTGCATTTGGGTTCATTATTCTAGGAGGGCTAAAGTGATTTCCATCTCCAGCATGTTCACCATTCTGAAAACCAGCCTTGGCACGTGGAACTCGATTACCAGATCGGTTATACCCCCCTGATAGACGAGGGCCATAAGGAATCCGTGCTGTTGCTGATTGATGAAGAGACTTACGAACAGGGTTAGCATTCAGCATTGGAGGAATATTCACTGGTGGAGGTAAAATTCCTCCATGGTCTTTGAAACCTGTCATGGGAACTGAGCCAAAGACAGGGATTATGGATGGATTAAATGGAGGTGCAGAGGCAGAAAGTTTCTTGCTTGTTTCTTTCCCAGCTTCTGCTTCTTCATGCTTTTCCCCTTCTTCTGACAAAAGTTTCTCATTCTCATTCCCATTGGTTAATTCTTGTGGATTTTCACCTACCTCTGCCACCTTTTCTCCTGAATTCGTGGCCTGGTTGCCTGTTGGCAGGGATCTATAATTATCATCTGTTGAAACAAATTGAGGTTCTGAGTTGGACAAAGTAGTTGGGGTCTCCCTAAGAGTACCTCCTGCTTCTAGCAGTTCACATTCAGATGAAAGAGTATTTGAATCTTTCAAGGACTCAGAATTTCCAATCTCCATGGGTGCAGCTACCTCAGCTTCTACATTTTCTTCTTCAACAGGACTACACTTCATTTCTTTTAAGGGTTCAGATATAACATTACTTAGTTCAACATCTTTTTCAGTAGCAGTTCTCTTTATTTCTTCAGTGGAAGCCAATGGTTGATCATCTCCTTCAATCGGATTCTGGACCTTTTTTTCTTCTTCATGCTTTATTGTTGTCTCCTCAGTATGAGTTGGCTCTGTTGTTGACAATTCGCTGTTTGCCTGAGGGTTATGCTCATCATGGCTTTCTTTTGGTAGCTGCTCTGCTACAGCTTTCACTATTGTACCAGGTGGAGCCAGTGCAACTTCTTTATAAGACAAGAGCTTCCCAGCACTGGCTGCAGCTGTCAGAGATGCAGACCTTGTATGTTGGCCAGCTGGAGCAGGGCTACCTGGGGTTGATTTTGAGTTAGCAGATTTCTCTGATTCTGTTACAGAAGTAGCAGAACCGTTGAGCTTCGAACTGAAGCTTGAACTCTTCACAAATTTCTTTGGAACAGGACCAGCAACAGTGGCAGCAGTAGCCTCATTTGGTGATGTTCTAGGGGATTGGAAATTGGCAGGCCTTCCTCTGTATCTTCCAGAATCTGATACATTCATGGAGTTTGTATTCAATTTTGCTAGGCTTGGCCTCCTTGAACTAGAAGACTTACGGCCTGCAAGTGAACGACCCTTAGGAACAGCTTCCTGCCATCCTTCATCAGTGGTATCATCCTGTACCAGGTCATCCTGTTGCTTCACTATGGTCCCGTTTACTAGACTAACGGCAGGKTTCTCATCTTTTGATTCCAGATTTTGAGTTTCATGCTTGTTCTCTTTATCACTAGAGGTCTCTGTCACAGGGTAAGTTGTTGATAAAGTTTCATCCTTTTGATACTCGTCTGTGATTGTTTCCCACTGGTTTTGACATGGCCTCCCCTTGATCTGTCATGATAAGGAAAAAAAGGACATTTTAATCAAAATACTTTAGTTGCCAGAATAAAACCAAAAGGGAAACAATATAACCAGTTAAAAGTTAATACCTTCATACGAGCTTGCTTCTTTTGGTTGTCTCTTCCCTTCAGATCTGTATCTGGGTTTATGTAATCCAAAAGGTCTGATACACTGATGCAAAAGAAAAATAAATTCACATAACCATAAAAAAATGCCACAAATGATCATCAAATCTTGGAGAGGAATATTCTAACAGTTCAATGATCACTTTTTGTTCACGAGGAACTTGTACCAACATGAGAAGAAAACTATCAAAGTAGATTTTAACATGCTTCCCTGAGCAGTGATGGCCCTTCAGGTTTAAAACCTATATCATATTAGTTATTTTAATCTAAAGTGGTATATCAAATCAAGTTGTGGAAGTCTATTTTTGGAGTATTAAGATAAACGACAAACACCACAAGAAGGGGAACACTAAAAGCACGACTATTATAAAATTAACTAAAAAACTTGGGGTAAAAGAGATTATCCATGCATTGCTACAGATTGTTGAATGATCATATCAGTCATGGAAGAATGTATAGTCTAAAAAGTGATTAGTCAAACAAGAAAATTGTTAAACTAGGCCCTAAAATTTGGCCCATCATTTTTAATGGTTAGGAACTAAAATGCATAAATAATCAATAAATGGAACAATTTTTGGGTTATGGCCTATTGAGAAAGTGACTTTTGCTCAAAATACCAATCGGCATGCTGTGTATTAAGTAAACAAAAAAATTCCCACCAATACTATTGTATTACCTGAAGGGCAACAAATGACACCAATACTATTGTATTTCCAGCAGGGAAATAAAGTACTATCCTTTAACATGCATTACCTTAGATGGCCTTTACTGGCAATAGAAGCATCTGGCTTTGGAGTACCATTCCGTGCAGCTTCTTGCTGCTCAACTGCCTTTGACTCAAAGTATTCAAGCCATGCAGCAGCATCCTGAAACCACATAGTTAAGTTTATATATAAGTCTGCAGGGATAATATCATCATTGGCAACTAGGTTCTATCACAAACATTGAGAATGAACTCACCTGTGTACGGAGATCTTCCGATCCAAGCTTTGCCTGCAGTATATGTAGAGTTGTCTGTTCATGCTGAACACTTAATGAGTATGCTTCCATCAACGAAAGAGCAATTGCGATGGCATGATAACTGGCAGCAGTCTGTGAATAGAAATCAAAAGAACATATTAAACATGTCCCTGAGAAACAAGCCATCTAGATAAATTGCTTGAAAAGAGAGAGACCTGAATATGATCAGCTCCAAGAAGTCTTTGGTTACACTTGAGAGCCTCATGAAGGTACCGAAGGGCCACATGGATGTTCCCCAAGCCTTCTTCCATCATTGCCACATTAATATAAGTGGCAGCGGTATTTGGATGGGATGGCCCACAGGTTAAATGCAAAAGATACAATGCTCGATTGACATATCTGAAACCAAGGAAAAGAAACAAGTATATACAATTCATCATCTCATCAACCCAATAAACATCACATGCAATTCCATATAAAACCTATGATAGATACAATGGACATGGATCATAATACATGTCCACTGTGTCAAGTATGTTTTAACATGAGCCAGACAAAAGGTTTGACAAACGATGTTTCTACCTCTACTACAAAAATGTGCATAAAAACATGTTATATTGTACAAACAAGATCATTTTTTATGTTTTTACAGAAAAAAGCTCTTTTCTTTTGTCCCACTTTCTCTGCAAGAAAATAAACCTTGTTACGCAGCAGGTTAATGGCTTTTCAGGACTAAGCTGCTACTGCAGCTTTATGTACTTAAATAGGTATTACTAATCTCTGTGTGCATGTTTTTTCACATATACTTATGAAGCAGAGTGATACAAAACGAAAAAAAAAAGAATGAAAAGAAAAAGGAAGAAAAAATGTACAAAAGAAATACAGCTTATATGAAGATATTACTCCAAACTTTTCCTTTTATGCATATTCCCCAGGATTATCAAGTGAACAATTGTAGAGAGGGAACTAGCAAAAGAGAAACTTACTTCAAGGCCAATTCTGTGTGCTGAAGCCGATAGTAGAAAACAGCAAGATCCCCATAGCTTTTCATTGTATCTGGGTGATCAAGACCAAGTTCCCTCTCATTGATATCCAAAGCCTTTTGCTGATAGATGGTCGCCTGTTTACGGTGCATAAAGTCAAAATCATTGAATAAAATGAAGTGCATGCCAAATGTCAATTATAATATCCAATTTCATAAAGCATTCTTGAAGAACATCTTATCCTGGACAGAAAATTTTAAAAAATAATGATATCTTCTAAGAATTAAAAAAGAGATCTATGCAAACAAGATTATCAAATCTATGTTATAGCCAGCATGGATCAGATTCCTCTGGAACTTGGATATTGGGACATGTAAGGGTCATCATGAATACAAGAAAGAATAAAAAATAATAGCAGGAAAGGTCAATTTGTCAACATTTCCACAAAGATGGTAGCCAACCTAACAAAATAAGAGGTGTTGCTAGATATATATTGAATTAAATAAATAAATCTGAGAAAGTAGAATGAGGTGATTTGGTGCATGCATAGAAGACCATCTACAGTACTTGTTAGAAGAGGTGATCTGTTACAAGCTAAGGAGTTGGAAGAGCTAGGGGCAGACTGAAAAGGACTTGGGTGGAAGTAGTAAGAAATGATTTACGTGCCCATAGTTTGACGATGGATATGTCACTGAACAGAACGGAATGGCGAAACAGGATTCATGTAGCTGACCCCATATAGTTGGGACAAGGCTTAGATGATTATGATGATAAAATAAATAAATGCTTAAATTAAAGTAATGAATTATAAGAATAAGATTTGCTCAAAAGGATAAAATATGTAATAGTTTTTTTTAGATATTCAGTTTGTCTACCCCATCACTACTTTCTTATTTACGTCAGTTCTTTTTTCAGTTTTTCTCTCTCTATCAAATGGAATAAATAGAAGAAGAAGAAGAAGAAGAAGAAGAAGAATATGCATACATATGTATGTGTTTAGATAGAGATGTACTGACAAATAGATTTGTATAGTGGCCTATATATCAATATATAGAACAAATGGGTTTAAGGAGAGTACGAATTATACAAACCTAGACTTAAACCTACTGAATTAATGAAAACAAATTAGTTTATTATGGTTTCAATAATCTACATAATATCATCTCTATGTGCCATACACATTTTGTAAAGTGCTTTAAGCTAAATAAAACCACAAAGTGCTTGAAACAGCCATTACACTTCAAGCTTATATAAATAGTTGCAAATATTTACACGCATATCTAGACAAATTTGTATTGGTTAAGTATATACCTGGTTAAAATCACCAGTATGGTAGAGAACTACAGCCAAAAGGCTATATGCTCCTGCTGTCATTCGATGATAAGGGCCACAGACAGCCACCAGCTTTGAAAGTGCCTTCGTTCAACACCAAAGTTAGAGTTTAGCTTACAGAAAACCATCAATTTCCATAAATAGGCAGAAAATTTGAAGAATATGAGAGAGCTTTCAATACCTTAGTTCCACAGTTGACAGCGTCTTCCAGTTTCCCTTTATCCAAAGAAGTTTTGGATGATTCCAATAGTGTACGCCCATCTGCAGACGAGCATGCGACATGCTGTGGTGCAGAACCACCAGTGTTAAAGCTTCCATAAATTATTCATTTATGTCAAGTCCCAGTTTATAATATCAGCAGTTCTATATATTACCTTATAAACAGGGACCATGCTAATAATATCTGATTTTCTAAAAGGAGATGTAGTGTCCATATCGTAATCTCTAGGAACAAGCTCAAGTCCGACCTGTTACAAGATGAGACAACTCGATAAAAACAGGGAGAAAGTGAAATGACTAAACTAGATTATTTATGGAAACTAATAGATAAATACTACACCTTGTGGCAAAGTCCACGAAGAGTGGCATACTTTCTCAAATCTTGACAACTTTCACGTTTCCATTGCCAGCCAAATCTCTTCAGGAGGAATGTTTCTATCCACTTCTGTTTTAGGTCGTCATCATCAATTATGTCTGCATCAGCATTTCCATGAGGAGTTCCCAGCAATATATTTAAACACGAGGCCACCAACCCACCCAAGTCACTGATGTCATCAACTGCTGCAATAACTGCCTGCAGTATGTGCTTATAAGCTCGAACAACCATCTCATGCACACAAAGAGACTGCACATGAGGGAGCTTATCTGCAAGTTCAACCTGGTGTGATGGAGAGAAAAACAGCAAATCAAATATAAGAGATTTAAGCATAATAGTGGCTTTTCTTCTATTAGGATACTTGAGAATGAATCAAAAACATGCTCAGAAGTCAGAACCAATAATATCCAAAGTAATAGAAAGACATGAAAGTATGAAGTAACTTGCTATTTTATTTTTGAACAAGGATGAGTTGGTAGAGAATTTAGCAACGGAAAAACAGAACAATGATGAGCAGGGGAAAACTAGAAACCACCATCAAGAGATTGTTTTCATGCCAGAGAGGGGGGCCATTGTTTCACTACATGTAAACAAATATGGTCCAGAAATAAACAGGCATCTGATTATTAAGAAACTTATTTACATTGGTGACAAGAATAATGAATGGTCTTAAAGAGCCTAACAACATGAAAAAACAATAATGCTTAAATCGCAGAAATAATTTCTTATTTGGTAAATGTGTATATTTAAAGTCTCACCATTGTTTTGGGGACCCTTAAAAAATTTATTTATTGCATTGGCTTTGCTTCAGTTCAAACTCATGTGTCTCACAAGACATTCTCTTGGAACCAAGACGAAAGAAGCAGGAAAAAAAAAGCATTTTAGTTGCATGCATTAACAATGGCTCATCCAAGTACTTCTGGTATAGAGAAAGCATGATATTGGAACCATAACTACAAGTTTAGCAAATTAACTAACATTTTATCTGATTTCCAACTTTAAAAGTATTTAGAATTGGACTTTAGAAACAGAAAATAACTAAGCACCAATTTCTCCAATGGAACAAATTAACTAATATTTTATCTGAATTCCAACTTTAAAAGTATTTTGGAATTGGATTTTAGAAATAGAAAATAACTAAGCACCAATTTCTCCAATGAAACACAACTCCCATGAATGGTGAGCCTAAGAGTTCCAAGCTCTTGAAAATTTTAAGTAGTAACTAATTCAAATTTGAGCTTTTCAAATAGAGGTTCACTAAGACCACTTGCAAGGCCGTTACATCAACCTATTCAAAGTTGACCTTTAGAAGGCTGTGATATCAACAGAGCTTCATCTACTAGTGTACTCAAAGAAAATGTTGATAGATAAATTAAGTGCTTACCACACGTCCCAATGAACACATTTGTAAACCCCTGGTATGCATAAAATCAGTTAATGTCCTCCCATCAACTGGAGAAAGTTCCAGGGAGCCAAAATCAGCTACCTGATAAAAGTAGAAGCAGCATTATTCATTAGGTTTCAGAAAATACCAGAAAAAAGGAAACATTAAATATCAAGTTGCAGCAAATCTTACCAGTTTGGGAAGTGCAGTATCATCATAGTACCTGTGAGCCATCTCAATCAATTCATCAGGTGACTGCCAGCATTCAAAAGGATCAAATACAATAATATTACAACACCAAGCAGCAGTGAAGGATCATGAAATTTCTTGTTCCCTATTAAGCTTATGAAATCCTACTCTCCAATAATTCATAATACTATATACCATCCTCCCAAGGAATGAGCTAGCCATAAAGCCATATGAAGTTTAAGAAGAAACAACACTACTGAACATCAGTGAGCATATGCCCCCAGTTTCTAGGAAAGTGGCAGAGCAAACCTTAAGGTGAAGACCAGTTTCTGATTCTCTTAGGCGTAGAAATGCTGGTTCAGGAAGCAGCTTTCTCAACATCATTTCCTTCTCCAAGTCTGGCTTTTCTGATTCCTTCTGATCTGCGGTACCTAATTTCTTGCTCAAGTCAAATCCATTACAAGTACCTCCCTCCTTTCCCTGCTCAGTCTTTCTGCTCTTATCATCTGCCTTCTTCTTAATTTCCCTTAGCAATCCACCCTGTTTCCCAAGACCCTTGACAGCTGGCTCTACCTTAGCTTCTTCAGTTTTCTTTGGCTCAGTCTTCCCAGAAGCTTGATTTTGCAAATGCTGCACCCAACACGCACCGAGCTCCCATCTGATAGACCTCCTCTGCTTAGCATCTTCTCCTTGCAATTTTGACAGACTGTCCCTTAGTACTTTCCTTACCAAGCACCTAGCAGACCGTAAATCCCCAAAATCTGCATTCTGTGAGCGTTGAACTACACTTGATGATTGTGGTGAGGATGACTTGTGTAACAGCATTCTCAAGCTGGAAAGAAAGCAGGAATTAGACAATGACAAACTACTTAAAGACTGGGCATTATCATAAATCCAGAATTTGTGTATTCAGTGCACTTGGGGTTGTCTAGCCATCCAACTACTAAGCAAACCATGTGAAACTGACTTGAATTTAACCAAGTCAGCCTTGTAGAGGTCCCCTATTCAGCTCTCATAACTTAAGGTGTCTAAGCACTTACCTATTGACATTTAATGCATTAGCACCACCATCAGGTTGATCCTCGATGTCAATGTCCTGGGGAATAGGACTTCCCTCCCAGTTTATCTCAACTGGAACTTTTACAACTGCCGTGTATCCACAATATCTAACTACCACAACACCTAGAGTAGCAGTATCCTGCAAAACCACTAGGCTAATTCAGGTTTTAACAATAACTTCTTCAACAAGTTAAAATAAGAACCACTATACAAAGAGTAAACCATCAAATGGTGACAAATATAAAAAAAATTAAATATTTTTCTTACATGAACTGTTGCACTCTCATCTGCAGTGATTCCTTTAAGTAAGTTTCGCTGTGCAAGCATCTGGGGTGACATTCCCGGAGACTGACTTCCATCATTTTTACATTCCAACTTTGTGCTTGCATCAGGTACATCTCTTGTTACTGTAATCCTTAAATCCCCAACTTGTCCTTCATGTGAAGCAGTTTGGCAATTCAGAGAACCTTTACTACTTTCAGTAAGGCGCTGGATAGCTGCAACAGCTTTAAAGACTGAAACGTCGACAAATAGACTGTGAAGTAGGAAGGCTTTTCGATCTCGGATTTGTCTCTCTTCTGCCGTCTTACAAGGCATGGCAGCCAATATTGAGAATTCTCTTGCCCATTGCCTGTTATCATGCTTCCCATCTCTTCCTTGACCACCCCCATTTCCTCCCCAACTTTCATCCTCTGTAGGAAGAAGGGGGAAAATGGATGGGTTATCGGCAACAATGGGAGGAACAACCCATGTGTTTGCACGAAACCCATAAGGTAGGTTTCCAAACTGCAAAGAAGGAATGGAATTATGGACTCATCGACTTCATAACATATCATAATCATATGGTAAAATTACTCACCTTATTGTGCTCTGTGAAAGCTTTCATTAGAGATTTGTAAGCCTGCAACAAAAATTAAGTTAAAATACAGTTAGAGAGTTTAATGGAAAAAGAAGAAGAGACCGAGAAACACAGACCAAGTATCCGTCTGGAGTAAAAAAAAAGGACAAAACTAACCCCATCAAAAGCCCGGCTTATCTGCTGCAACAAACTAACCAAAGAGTGACTAAGGAAAAGATGTTTCCCAGCAGGATAAAACCCTTTACGGGAAGCGACAATCGTCACTGGCTTCCCATTGCAGACTCGTACCTGCACATACAGCCATTTTTAACCTAATAAACATAACAGTACAACCTTACCTACCATCATTGCCAGAGCACTGAAGAAAAGTAACTTCCACAAATTCTTACCATAACCCAAAAAACAAAGATAGAAAACTCACATCGATTTGGAAGAAATCGTCTTCGGTTTTCTCCTCAAGGAACGGACGGGACGACCTCCTAATGTCTGCAATTGAACCCACAGTCAACCAAACTACAACCCAAATCGAATTTCCTAAGATCAATTCGTTAAACAAAAAGGGAGTTATGGAACAAGTGACAACACAAACTGAACAAAACCCAAATTCATTGAAAACACTGAGCGCAATATGAGAAAATTCACAGACACATGCCACAGAATCAAGCAAACAGTACCCCAATTCTTCCTTTTCTTTAAAACCGTAAAAGCGAAAAGAAAAAGAAACTCACACTGGACCGGCGGAGTAAGGTGCGAAAATGAGAAGAAGTCGTAGAACTGGCCCAGCTTTGTTGGCGGGCACATCGAGACCACGTCCCCCTTCTCCGCCATCTCCTTCCCGGAGTCAACGGTAGTTATGGTTTCCGTCTTCCCATCTTTGCTAGCTTTGACGCCTTGCCCAGCTTTATGATTTCCATTAATGGCAGGATTCGATTGCTTGCTTCCTGTTTTTTGCTTCGAATTAGATTCACCTCCATTTTCTGCAAGCGAGTCAACCAAGGCTTCGCCATCGTTCGAACCGTGTTCTTTCGAACTGGGTTCTTTCGGTCCACCATTTTTGGGAGAAGACGTGGAAGAACCGAAGGACGTCGTGCAGGCGACAATGTCTAGAAGTCGACGAATATGAGTAACTGCAAGTTCCTCTGTGTAGTCCTCTGCGAAAGCGGGAGATCTTCGGCTTTGAGTTCAATAGTGATACTATACATCGTGTCACTTCGATAAAAAAGCTCCATGCGCTACAGATCGTTGGATTGGTTGAGATGACCAGTGCTCTCACATTATGACATCCCAATCCAACGACCTGAAACTTAATAAAATTCAGACTTCAAATTAGGAATTTGGAACCCGTATTACCTTCGACGATAGAGAGCACGCAAGGTTTGAGGGAGACGATTTCCACCGAATCTTTCAGCCTAGGGCCTCGGACCTGTTTGAGAGCGGGAGGTCGTTAGTCGTTAGTCGTTAGACGTTAGCCGTTAATCGTTGCTCGTTGCATTTAACTATTAAGCCCTTTTCCAATCATGCTCCGCTGGCGTAGCATGATTTTGACAGAAGAGAATTGGACTTGGGCACAGCTGGCCCAACCCAAGTCCTGAAATCAGTCTTTGGGCTTGGGATGGGCCTGGGCGAAAATTCAGTCCAGCTCATACTTTTGGCTTTGAACAGGGTTCAGGCAAACCCAACCTTGTAACAAAATGCTAGAAGTTGTATTCTCATTTTTTCAAGACCCCTTTATACCTTATATATATATATATATATATAGCGAGAGAGAGAGAGAGAGAGAGAGAGTTTCATACAATGTTTCGAGCCAGGCCTGGGCCAATCCGAGCCCAGCATGAACTCTGCCTCGGGTCTATGTTTTGGCCCATCCCAGCCTTATTTGGCTGGGTGTTTGTTCAGTAGACACCGAGTTCATACCACATTAAATGCCGATATATGAGTCCGCTGTTTGGATGGAAAAGCAACAAAGTATTTGATATGCAGCAAAGTATTTCAATACAATGGTGTTTGTGGAGATTTTGTTTGCAGGCCGATTTGTGGCATGTGTTCTAACTTTTTTTTTTTTTCTTTCTTTTTAAGTTAAAAACGATCCCCGTAGGCTCCGTTTGGAAGAATGCAACTATAAATATGCACGGTTTACATATATAAGCTCCATTTGTATTTGCACTAATCATATTTGTATTTGCATTCTTCCCAAATGAGCCTTATTAACAGTTTATTTATTTTGATGATAATTTGAAAGCTATATGAAATGATATCATGCCCTTTTTTTCTTCTAAGAATTTAAAGCAAAATTTTTGATCTCTCAAAATCTAAAAATGTTTTTAGTTGTTAAAATAATTAAATAATATTATTTTTAAGGATATAATGGTCAACCCAACTTCAGTTTCAGCCGTTAAGGAGCTCACAACCATATCTTGTTCACTAAAAAACAAAGTGATAAAATTTTCATTTCAACATCTTCAGCTATTAACAAACAGCCCCTTATACCCCTAATGAAATAGGTGATGAAGGGAGGATGGAGAAAAAATTCCAAACTTAAAATGGCTTATATCCATAACCATTCTTAGTATAGGATAAAATTTGAAAGTGCGAAAAAAAATACACCAAATGCCTATGCTTCATCATGTGGCAAATTAGTAGGTGGAATGTCTAAACTTGGAATCTTATCTACATTCTCAAAAGTAATTAAACAATACATTTATGACATTATTTTGTTCTTTTTTCTTTTTAGCATTTGGTGATACGCCCGAATCCCCCATAGGGGCCGTTGAGTAATACAGCACCACACTAATTAGCCCCACGGCCCCCTACCCCAAGGAGATTACATCTCCGCTGTGTATTGGAAATATCTCCAGATGATGATACTAAAACCGATGATGTCATATTGTTATTATAGGAAAATGTTCCCAATACATGATGGAGATGTGTTGTGGAGCATTGTGGGGCGGAGATGTGAACTCTCCTCCAAGTCGGTGGTAGGGAAATCAAATTTATATCTTTACTAAAATAAATGAGATAACATACCAACTAAGCCTAACATTCTATAAACATTATGGGTAGAAGAACATGGCGGTCCAAAGTCTAAGAATGGTATTCAATTTGAGTGTTTATTAAATTCCAATCCAATGGTATTGAATTATTGCCCCTTTTTTTTACCACCCGGGGCCCATGATGGAGTGGCGCATTTTAGCAAGGATGGCATTAAAGAGACTGATGCTGAGTGATGAAGCTAGAGCAAAAGAAATGCTGAAAGCGTTGCACAAGCCATGAAACAAAAGAAGCGAGCATACCTCGTGGGAGAAGGAGTAGTTGGTCAAGTGACAAGTTTCGACGTGGACTGCTAAAAGCTTCCGGACGTCCAGGATTTTGTCCGTCGAGATTCCCTGAAACAGAGAATGAGATTATGAGAGGAATGGACCAATCAGAGAAGTGCCATCGCCATCTTCTTATCCTGCACCCCACCCCCTCCACATTTCACTTAAATTCATCTTATCGTACGCCTACCCGGTGCATTAATTCAGGAAATGGGGGGGGGGGGGTGAACACACCGTGCATGTGGAGAGCTGTTTTCGAGTTCTAGAAGAACCAATGACCATGGGTGTGCGTAATGCGCACCCCCACACCAGTACCCAACCAAAGTGAAGTTCGAGACAGAGAGCTTGGGTCTTACCTTGAGCGTTATCTGAGAGTAGTCCGGCGTCTCAACGGTGATATCCAGAACCGTCGGAAAAACTGCGGGGTGGGAAGCAAGAAATGGAATGATGAATCAATGGATTTCAACAGAATATCGGTATGTGGAATATAAAAAGAAGGCATAAAAAAGTTGGAGAAACAGAGTAGTTGCGGAGTAGATTCAATTACCTTTCTCTTCCTTTTTCTTCTTCTCGCCTTTGGCTTTGTGGGGTTTCGATTTTCCCGTTTTTGGAGCCATCGGGCATCAAACCAACTCAATTAATGGGAAAAGCGATGGTTCTTCCAAGACAAGAGATATTCTGGATTGGGAGCTTCCCTGGTAAATCTTTTCAAGCTCTTTTCAATCGAAACCCAGAGTTGCCCGCTCTTATCCTTATCTTCCCTTCAATCTTCACGCTTCAGTGGTTGATCCAAAACCGTTCGAAACATACTAATTATCAAGTCCAATCTCTGCATACAGAAGGGGTATATGAGTGTTTCGTGCATTCCAACCAAATTGGTTCAATAGAAAAAGAATTTCTCAGAACAAAACTTGGCTAAGTGGCTTCGAACCTCTAAAAGACGAGCAGAGATTTATCAAGAAATTGGAAAGAACCCACATAAATCAATTCCTTATCCTACAAGAGAAGCAGTGAAACCGGACTAGAACAAAAATGTGAAATGGGTATCAGAAACAAGAAAGAAATTGAGTATCAGAAAGAAGTATAAAAGCTCCTCAACTGTAACATCAACTATCAAGCAGAAGTGAGGGAAACAAATGAGAATCCGAATGCCTGGTTTTCGACTTTATTGTTTCTTTGAACTAGTACGGGCAATTTGAAGAATTTCTGGAGCACTTCTTATTGAAAAGCGGTAGAAAGAGAAGGGGAAAGAGGATTGAAGAGAAAAGTGAGGTGAAGAGAGTGTGGTCGGGTTTAGAGGGAGTAGAGAGAGAATGTGTGTGAGCAAGAGAGAGAGGGTTTTAAGGTAAGGTGATGGTGGTGTGAGTTGAGGAGATGGATGGATGGATGGATGGATGGATAGATGGATAGGATAAGGTCCCAAGCGACTCCGTCCTTCTACACACGCAGAATGTGAGGCCAGCGATTTCAGGCCTCTCGTTTCCCTGCGTAACAGATCACTCTTTCTCTCTCACACACACACTCTCTCTCCTATTTCTGTCTCTCTCTAGACCCTTTTAAACGGAAAGGGAATTCGGTCAGCTGTGGGAGGATGGAATGCCTTCGAACAGGCCACGTGGAGGGTGATTAGTGTGATTGTTTACGTGTTGTTTTTGGGGTTCATTTCTTATGGACCAGATAATGTGATAAATGAGAGATGATTGTGGTTGCTTGAGGGGATTCTCTTTGGGCTACAGAGATTTCCTTTTGTCAATTTGACTTTGTGGGTGCCACAAAATGGGACCACCCATAATATACAGATTGGACGGATTAATAAAACTGAATTTGGATGGACTGGATGGACCGATATGATATATTGGATTAAACTTTATTCGTTTATAATGAATTATATTGGATTGAGTCAATATCTAATCCATTGATAAAAGATAAGAATATAGGAGTTAATGGACTAGGTTTGAGTTGAAGTCAATCTAAATTAACAGGAATTTGAACAGATTGAACAGTCACTGGACTAATCCAAAATAGTCCAAAATATTCATTGGATTGGATTGGACCAGATCCATTTGTAATGGACTCACATTAGACTGGACCGGATTGGACCAAATCCAATCCAATTGACACCCTTAGGTTCAACCAACCAAAAATATATATTTTGGTGACGTTATGGGCAGATTTGGAATTGCAACATCTTTTTTAATCCAAAATTGGATTTAATAAAATGATTCTAATATTATATATATTAAAGGTAAATTACAGGTACCCTGTACCTTTTGGGCTTGTGATACTTAAAAGACTTTGAACTTTTAAGTATGATATTTAATACTTAAATGACATTTTAAATATATAGTTAAATTTAATTTCATTAGATTGGTTTTACAGTGAGAGTGAAAATTATTAAGATAACCATAATTAGATTATCCTTTTTATTATTCTTATTATGCTATCTTCGGACCCAATCGAGTGGCAACAGAAAAGAAATGCTAATTCACCGGAATAATTAATAAAGTAGGTAGAGTTTGCATCTAAATAAAGCATATGGAAAAAGTGAGAAGTGAGAACATTTGAGCTGTCTGGTCATTAGGGATGGCCATTTATGATCTGACCCAACCCTGTCTGTAAATTTTCAGGCCTAGATCTGCATTAAGTCCGCACACAATGTGGGTCGGGTTAGGGCCAAACAAGTCTTAGGCCTATTTATAATCACCTCCCTGAACTTTTTACATAGTTGCAATAGATCTTCTTAAAATCCTTTAACAAGAGGCATGAAAATGTCCAAAATATGCATGTGGTTATTATTGAGGCTGGTTTTAACAATATATATATATACTTTAGGCTCAGTTTGGAAGGAGTATGAATATAAATTTGTAGAGTGCAAAATCTTATATTCTGTATGTATTTGTACAATACATATTTGTATTTGTACTCCTTCCAAACTGAGCCTTACGTTGCCTTTGGAAATACTGCAAATGGAGTGTAAATCCCAGGGTAAATATGCACTATTGTTCACTTTTGCATGTGTTTGGCAACATTGCATTTATGCATTGACAAAAGACAAAAAACACATTTTTCAATGCATATTTACATTGACAATAAGATGTAAAAGTACATCAATAAAAAAGAAGTAAATTTACAATCAAGTGGGCTTTTAAAAAAAAGGCATATTCTTTATTGGAATTCATATTTGCATCAATTACAGCCAAAAATCAGTTTGATAAGAAGGTAAACTTGTCAATGCAAAACTAACCCAACTTTACAATTTATATGGACCACTTTACACTCTACATATTTGCATGTTTCCAGACGCAACCTTATGAACAACAAAGAAAAAAGAGAGCTTAAAGTTGCAGCTTTACCATTGAGCAATTGATATGAAGAAATTTGGAAAATATATCAATTCCAGACAAAAGATTGGAGGGTTTGGGGTAGCCATTGATATGAAGAGAAATTTTGGATAATAAACATTTTAGTCAAAAATAATTACATGGATACTTTGGACATTTTCATGCCTCTTGTTGGAGAATTTTAACATGAGGGTCTACTTGAAACTATGCTACAAAGTTCAGGGGAGGTGATTATAATTATCAAATTTTAGGGGAGGTTTTAGCAATTTACCCTATATAAACAATAACAATTTAAATGTGTTTTTCTATAACTATGAACATGAAGTTCAATTAAAATTTTAATTCACAGGGGCTAGTTTGGGCAAGCCTTGGTACTGTTGATACCCTATAAAACTTGGCCCAGGCCCAACCCAACTCATGATCATCCCTAGTTTTTGTACTTATACACATGCAGAACCCACCAAAATTTTTTGTCGCCACTTTTTTGTGTCCAAAGGTAGAAGAAGATAACAAAAAGAATCTAGATATGGACATTTTTGTAATTTCATTCTTATCTTAATGCCAATTTTAATGGAATTGGACTTAAGTGTTTACTTTTGAAATTTTAGGGTATTAAATTATCGCAATTGAAAGTTTAGGCCCTCAAGTGTCACTACTCACAAAGTATAAGGTATCTATGTATAATTTACCCTAAATTAAATTAAAAGTGATTCTAAACTTCTAATATTACATGTTATTAATAAAGTGGGCTAGAATAAGTATCATATCATGTTATTGGTTTTTAGGGTCATTTAAGATGATTTAGAGAGAGAGATAATTTCAACCATTTCAAAGAAATAACCGATCACATTTAAGATGCCACATAGTTTATTTACTTTTCATTGGTTCCCATTTTATGAGATGTATTAATTATATTAAAAACTTTAACATTAAAAATCTCACATGTGATGCTTCACCTAACATTGATTCCCTTTACTTCTCGATTTGGTTTCTACATTGTAAATTTTGCTTAAATATTAATAGGTGATGTGAGGTCTCCACGAACAAATTTTCATCCAAAAAAATTTAAAAAAAGAGGTGTTCTTTTGCATATTGAGAATATCAATAATTAGAACCTTGGCTAGAAGTAACTTTGATATTGTAAATCATGAATGAAGTGTCATAAAAATTTCTTCCATGATACTTGAATTATTAATTTTTAATATATATATATATATATATATATATATATATATATATTATCCATCTTACCATTATTCTTGGGTTATCTATTGTCTAATAAAATAAAAAAAACCAAAAAATTTAGAAGGGATTAGGGAGAGGGAGTTACTTTTTTATTAATTTGTATCAATTTTAACTAATAAAATAATTTTTTCTAAGTCTGTTAAAATTTTTATTGTTTTTTATTATGTTAAAGTTTTTAATAATATTTTAAGTTTTAAATTTTATAAATTTTGTAAAATTAATTTTACTAATTTAGAGTATGTTAATAAAACCATGTTATTTGACTTTTTTTAATTTATAAGTTACTTAACAAGTTAATCATGTAAAGTAAGTTGTTGGCTTTTAATTTTACCTTATTTTTATTGTCTACTTACTTTCTATTTTTAATATTTTCTCGATAAATATTACTTTTATATGTTAAAAGATTATGTTATTTTTAGTGAAAATTTCTTTTATTTTATCAATTAATTAAAAATAAGTTTATATTATTATATATATTTGTCATTTTCTAATTGTTTAGAAAATTTTCCTTATTTTATCAATTTTCTGTCAATTAACATAATTTTAATAATTTTTTATATTATCTTTCCTCATTTTTCTGGTTTTTCTGTTATTTTATAATTAAAAAAATTATGTTTAGTGAAAATTTCCCTTATTTGCTCTTTTTATTTTTAAAATTATATAATCTGGGTCAAATCAATCAAATGATATTGGTCTAGCTTGATATGGAGTGGTAATTGAAGCTAGTGGGTGGATGGTTTTTAGATATTTAAATTACCCATCCCTCCTCATTTTTTTTTTGAAAATTGCACAACTGGGTTAAACCGATCAAACCATATTGGTCTAGTTTGGTTGAATTCGTAATTGAAGCTAGTAGGTTGGACGGCTTTCGAGTATTCAATTAAGTTGATTAATGAACTTCATCTTCTTGATGCATTGAAATTTTTATGCCCTTAGTTCATTTCTGATGGAGGGTGATTTGGCCCGACCTCGTAGCCCGGGTACATGTGGGTGTGATCTTGCTCAAATGATGACTCAGCACGACAGCACAGCAGGCGCAACCACTACTTGCCGGGAGCCACTTGGCCTGCACCTCCTCCCTGGGGCTAAGGCACCTAGAGATGCCCCCGAGCTCGGGGTCCCCTGACCTTTCCTAATACTCGAGATCCTCCCAGTGGATCTCGGGCCACTCCCAGACAGGAACACACCGATTCGCTTATAGATACCCCGAGGTGAAGACACCTCGGGCCAGCCAGCTCGGCTTAGCTTGCCACAGGCAGCCCGTCGCTTACGAGATAGCCCGACATAGGGTAACTCGCGGAAGGGTAGTTCGGCATACCGTAGGAAGATCTCCTGCCCGACCACCATACCCAACAAATCTGGGGATAACAGCCATATCCCTCGTCAGTCAGCGTCGTGCCTGCCACCTTTAGAGGGTGCCTTACACTTGACAGGCACGTACCCTGCGATGGCGGCCCCATGTGTGCCACCTCAGCCCTGCCTGTAACGGCTGCATCAGGTTGACAGTGGCGGTTATACCTGCCCTATCAAAGGCCAGTAGGCCTGATGCAACGGATTTCTGTTATAAGGAGCCTATTCTCAAGGAACAAAGGTATCATCTTCCATCTCTTGCGCTATCTTCACTCTTAGCCTTCATCCTCTCCTTGCTTCTCCTACAGAGCACTAACTTAAGCATCAGAGTGTTCCCGCCGGGCAAACCCCCGGGGATTCTTCTTCTTCTCCATCTCAGGTACCTTTCGGGAGCCACGCAAGTGCCAGCTAGGAGTGACCGGATTGCGCACCATCATTTGGTGCCGTCTGTGGGAAACACTTCTAAAAGCTTTCCTCTAAACCTTCACAGTTCCTTCTTCTCTGAAAACTCAACACTCATGGCTTCTTCAAGCAACGTTGGACGAAGCATGGAGATGGATAACTCC